GCATAATGCGGAGGAGCACCTGTTGGTGGAGTCCTGTTGAAAAATCATATGATCTTCATCATACTCTGGAACATTTTCAATATCAGTCAAGGCAGGGTCAATCTTCCAGTAGTTGTAAATAAATTTGGCCAGTCAAATTACCAGGTAGAAAAAAAGGATCCATCAGCCGGTCACCGAAAATTCCAGCCCATACATTTAATTCTTCCGGTTGCTGTGTATGCACCTCGTGAAAAACTCTTGGGTTTGAATCGGACCAATAGCGGCAATTGTGATGATTTACCGTCCCGTTCAAGAAAAAACTGCATTCATCTGAAAAACAGATGTTAAAAAGGAACTGTGGATCGTTCCCTGCTCGCTTACTCATTATTTCGCAAATTTGCAAACGACGGTCATAATCATCCTCATGAAGTTCCTGGACTAAATGTATTTTGTATGAATGGAATTTATTCTTCTTCAAAATGGTTTGTATGCTAGTTCGATTGATCCCAGACACAAATGCCAGCTGCCTCGTACTTAATGTAGGATCAAAATGAACTTGTCCCAAAACTGCAACTTCACTAGCTTCATTAACTATAGATTTTTCAATTTCTCGTTTTTATTGGCTATGTTCCCTGTCTCCTGAAATTTTTTTACTAACTCTAGAACATACTTCCTCCTGACATGTCGATCTTGATGTTGTTCATTAAATAGCTGAGCTGAAATGATATCTACCCTTTCCGCAATGGAATAAACCAAAGTGTTTAATTTTCAAAAACACAATTAAATAAACTACCAACCAACGCTTCCAAATAATACTAGAAAATAATTTGGAATCCACTAATTTTACGTTCATTGTGTGTGTATAGCATTCATTTCTGTTTTTTACAATTGTGTTTTTTTTACGAAAGTGATAACAAATCGCCAAAAACCAATGTAACGCAAGAAATACTAAATTTATACCATTGGCGTACTTAACTCGAATGACTGACATTTTTACCGTTACTAATTGTTTGTACATAAGTTTCAACTTTAAAATCAAAATTCTTAATAAGTATTGGGCGGAATTATAAAATTTAAAGTCTGTTGTAAAGAGAATTGTAAGAGCTTTCAAAAGAAATATTACTCAACCCCCAATGCCATTTAAATATTTTGGGGTGATGCTTACCCTTGCTTGGGGGTGAAAGTGGCGGAGTCAAAAATACCAGCAAAGAATGTCCCCCTTTAATCTAAAATCGACGGGTCTGAGCGTTTTTCTACAATCTTGATGCAGTTCCTGCTTGATGCTTTGTTTTGTTTTCATTTGGCCACCCTGTATATTCTTTACTTATTTTTACTTGAAGAATATGTCCTCAAAGTTTATCGACTTAATACTGAAGCACCTTGTATACAGCGGTCACCTAACGAATGTTACATATTTCAAGGGTATAATCTAGAACCTAAATTGTATCGATTTAACCAAACTTGCTTATACGTAAATATTTCCAGAAAATATGGGGTATGTGTTAATAAATATTTTCTTTAATATCTTCATAACCGAGCATAATTTTTACTTTTGATAGGTATATATGTTTTGTGTAGAATAAAATTCTCTTTTTTCTGATAGTCGTGTGTAAAAATGTAAACGTACAAAAAAGTTACAGAAGAATATTCACAAAGGGTTGTAGTAAAATGAACGCCCTGTATGATTTAACCAAATAGGAACATAATCACTACTGCATACTTCATGAAGAGAAACTAAGCAACAGCAAATTTTATTCAAATCGGTTAACTGGGTTTTGAGTTAAGGAGAAATCAAGAAATAAAAGGAACACCCCATAACTTTTTTTGAGACATTTTTTGTTTAAGCAAGATTGGTTAAATTGACATCATTTGGGTTCTAGATTATACCCTTGAAGTATGTAACATTCGTTAGGTGACACCCTGTATATAAAATTATGTTTTATGGAGTGAGGTAAGAATTACTATTTATTTATTTCAAAGTATAACTGCTCAACAGAAAACTTGTGTAAACAGTGTCACAGGTTTTTAATTACAAAAACAAAAAATGTACTAATGTACATGATAAAAAATGGAAACAAAAATTAGTCCTGGTTTGACCAGTGCATAAAATTATTCTAAACAAAAATGGAACAAAAGTCAGTTTATTTTAATAGTACTGATACAGAAAATTCATAACTCACATAACACATTGTCCAAAAATTACAATAAAAGAAATTCGCAACTAGAATGTGTTATACACTGAGACTGAAAAGAACTTACATAAAAATTTATATATTTCAGCAAGAAAGGAAAATCAATTTGGTTATTCATTAATTTAAATAAGAAAAGTACTTACAGCAAGATTCCAGTTGAAATCTATTTAATGAAATAATTTGAGGTTGAAAAGATACTATTTCAATTTTGGTATCAGTTTATAATAAATTACTAATATTGTATTTTACATACTTAACAAACGCCGTATTCCAAACACGTAAAAATATATGAAATATTCCATTTAAAAGAATTGAAGTGGGTCTTGTTTCTACATTGTTTAACATTCATTTGTTTATTTTAACAAATGTGAGATTCTATGGATAAAGCCAAAAAACTTTTGTATAGTTTAACTGCGACCATTTTTTTGGAAAAATTCCAACAGATTCTTAGAGTGACTTGAAACAAAAAGCGTCAGTTTTCATAGATCCACTATACAGTTTTACATAATTAAGAACAGGTTTTTAGAAATTCACTCATATTTCTTTCATTAAAGAACGAAATGTTTTGGCATTATACAGTTTTTCTGAACTTCCCAGGTTACTCTGAGTAATAATCTGTGTAATTTTTTTTTATTCCCTTGGTAGTACCTCTTAAATTTATGCATCAAAAAATTAGTTGTGGCTAAGAAGTAAGTGGAATGTACCTCTGATGCACATTCATGAGACCTAACAAAAAAAGTTTGTTAAAATCAAACAATACCTACTTAAATAAAAAAGTAATGAGGGTGGTTAATCTTTACGTAGAATATAGAATACAAATGAATATCCAGTACTTAGTTGTTTGAGAATGTCTTGCAAGAATGGGGTTTCAAGTTATATATCTGGATCCTCATTAAATAAATCAGGACATAGAAAATTAAAATTAGAAACACCACTTCAATATTATATTTTTATTTTGATTAATTAAGGTTACTTAGCTCATTTTAAAATAAAATAAATAAGTATCAAAATCAAATTGCTTTAATTTTGAGTAGGTATGAAAAATACAATTACTACAAATGATACTTCTATGAGTGGAGAACATTATTTTGTTCTGTTGTGTACAAAGTTATTACTTCTCCATTTTCTCATAGTTTATTATTTAAATTTGAATGCTGTTTATTGCCAAATTGTAGGTAAGGTTTCAATTAATTAAATGAGCTGTGACTCGTAATTGTTATATGTTTGACAAGATGAGACACTGCGGTTGGTTATGGGGAATGGTTTAATTTTTTTAGTATGCAATCTTTACAGATTCCTTCACCCATTCTGACATTATGTTTACCCCAATCGGATATTTTTGTATCATCCTAAAGAATATAGTTTATCCCAATTTTATTTTATTTACTGTTATAAAAAGCCTGTCAGTTTTAATGCTTGCAGTCTGCTTACATAGTAATTCCTGAATAGGAGAAATATCAGGGTTTTGATTATTTGGAATTAATTACTTATTAGCACATTTTTGTGCACTGCACTGATTTTTTTGAGAATATCAGGTTATACTTCCAGTAGTCAAATCTGCATGGTTCCTTTCATCTTTAAAACAATGTAGGTACTAAATATTGGGAACTCTCTCCACCACGCTTTGCTAGTTCATATGAAGCAATATAGTAGCAGAATATGATATTTTCTCATTCCCAAGATTTCTTCTTTATTTAGAATTGTGGAACTTTGCTTTGTCTTTTCTGATTTTGTTTGTGGTAACTTATGATTTGTGTTTGTTTTTAGCATCTTTCGTGAATTTAAATTTGATGTCTTAAAGAGTTTGAATCTTCTGTTTTAGCCGTATCTTGCATTACTTTGGCAGTTTTGTTCGACATTGTTTTAATAAGGGCAAAATTATTAAAGTAAGTTTAACTTGCAGTTAACTAACTATAAGCTTAGAATGTGATTTGTTGCAATTAAAATATACTGACACCAACTCATTCTAATCTTCCAGTTAGTTAACTGTAAGATAAACTAAATGGCTTCTGTATAATATTTCCATTCTTTTTTTTTTAATATTAAATCCATAATCCTCTAAAAAGTTGGCCAATTTTGTTGTTGGTGTTGGTTTTTCAGTGGTGGTTCCAATGATGGGACCAATTTTTAACCGCTTTTTTCACAAAATGATAGTTGACACAATATTTATCATAATATTTTTACATGCATTTTGGTTGATTTTATTACAGATTTCATCCACTGATGATGTACTAAACCATTTTTTATGCTTGTGCTTTGTTAGCTTTCTTATTTTGATTATTTCTTTATTTAAAAGTCAGACCGCAAATTTTTTCATACCTGTCTCTTGGATCCAGAGGACCCGGCCAGGGACCTGAATCACACGGGGTAGCATTAATGGGGCCCTCAATAAATGGGCCTATCAAATATTAGGTCAAAACTGGAGGGTGAACAGAGGAGTAGGTAGGCTCATAGCTTTATATATGGACCTAATAAACTTAAGACGAGGGGGCGTTCCGACAGGACCCACTTATGGCCTAATTGCCAGGATAATTTACCGCCCTATTTACTGCTACTACTACTAAACCGTTTTTTATTTATTTTCATGCAAAGTGGTGACAGTCATCAAGTCAACAAAAATATGTTATAATTCAGTAAAACAAAGTACTTACTTGAAATTATTCTAATGGTAGTAATTTAAGTAGATTATTTTCACTATAATGTTTTTGTTGACTAGATTGGTTTTTAGAAATGTCAAAAAAATAATTCCTGAAATATCCAAAATAAGTGAAACATTTTTACAGCTGTTACTGTAACAAAAATTGTAGATTTAAATTTTTTTCATTTTAGGTATCGGAAGGAGATGGATTTCCAAATTTAATGTGTGTTCAATGTGTACTGCAGTGCAGTAGGGCATATACTTTTAAACAGCAATGTGAAAAATCTGATAATATATTACGGCAGTACTTGTCACCAGAATTTCAGGTATGGTCATCTATAATACATAGTTATTTTGTAAGTGAAAAAATGAACACCACTATTTGCCATATTTTTTGAGGACTCTAAAGAAAATTTTTCAATTTAGTAACATATGTAACATTGATGGCAAATATTTTCTAATTTCAAATCACAAAGTATAGTATATGCTCTGTGTTCAAATGTCTGTTTTTTTTATTCTCTACGTGGCAGTTTGAGTAGATTCTGCTCGTCATTATTTAGAAAGCAAAGATTAAAATTAAACTATTTCTTCTACAAATAGTGTATTAGGATTAATTGGCTAAAATTTGAATTTGAGGAGTTAAAATAAGAAAAAAATCATAGTAATTTTACATTTTTTTATTACCCTTAACAAAATGCGACATTTTTAATTCTATGGATTTATTTTTACAAAACGATAACATCTACAGTTATTTCAGATTTATTGAAATGTTGGAATGTAAATTTTCTATATTTCTTAAAAATTACACTAGAATTTAAAAGCAAAGATCAATCTGCACCACTGGTTGGTATTTATAACCAAATTTAATGGATTTATTATCTTTAATTAGATAATCCATGTTTCATTACCTACTATACATCAAACTACTTGAGATCTTTTAAAAAATATGAATTTTTAATTTCAACACTATCTCTAAAACAAAGCTTTTGCAAACATACTTTTAAAAAACGTTTTTTCTTATTTTAATCACCCAAATTGAAATTCCAGCTTTGGCAAATTAATCCAGAAACACTCATGTTATGATAGAAAAAAACAATTAACAGGTAATTAACCATTAGTACTATTTTCCATTACCATTGAATAATTTATTATAAAATTGGTAACTGATAAAAAATAATAATATCCATTATATACACTTTGGGCAATTCGAAACCTTCAACTCACATTTTAAATTTTTGTTATGGAATACAGACTATACAGGGTGTGTCATTTAACACTCCCACTGACAGAATCTTCGAAATGAAGAAATTTATTTTAGTTCTGGAAATTGGGGTTGTTAGATCCTTCGAATAGCTTCAAACAGTAGTTAGAACTGTTAGTTCAAATCTTTCTGTATAGATGGCGCGGCAATACTAAAAAAAAAATTTATCCCTGGAAAGATCATTAAATTTTGAGTAATTTTTGTAATATAAAGTTTTTCCTTATATTTACTTATTTTCAAGATATGTCGATATGCAATGTATGATATAACAGGAAAATCTATTATTTTATCTAAATCACACCGAGACAAAATATTCTTTAAAATTTTGTTATAATGACTATTCACACCACATACTAACTAACAAACAATAAATTATAAAAAAGCAAATGATCAACTACTTAAAAAAATTGTACAATGGTAAATCGTATAACTAGTATAGTTAAATTGAAAGACACAAACTGATAAAACTGTAATTATTGGAAGACTAATATGTATCATCTGTCTTTGTTTTATTTTAAACAAATGACATGAGCCACCTATGACTGTATTTTTTTAATAACATTTGATAAAATACGGTTCGTCTCTGCTCCTTATAAGATTTACCATTGTACAATTTTTTTTCTGTAGTTGATCATCGTTTTTTTTATAACTTATCGTTTGCTAGTTAGTATGTGATATGAATAAAGCCATTGTAACAATATTTTAAAAGAATATTTTGTTGCAAAATAAATATCATACATTGCATATTGAAGTCGACATATCTCCAAAACAAGTAAATATAAGGAAAAACTTTATATTACAAAAATTACTCAAAATTTAACGATTTTTCAGCTTGACTGTATTTCCACGCTCCAGGGAATAAACATTTTTTAAGTATCGCCACGCCATCTATACAGAAAGATTTGAACTAACAATTCTAACTCCAATTTGAAGCTATACGAGGGACCTAACAACCCCAATTTCCGAAATTAAAATAAATTTCTTCATTTCGGAGATATTGGCAGCGGAAGTGTTAAATGGCACACCCTCTATATGAATAACACTGATATCAAAAAAATATTTGGTAGTGGTTTTTGTACTAGTACTTATTTAATTAAAAAAGTGTAGATAGTTAAATATAAATTAGATTAGAGATTGGTTTTAATATTTTTAATTCTTAGTGATATAAGTACATTTGTTTCTATGGATTATACAGGGTGATCTATTAACTGTATGGAGCGGCTGTATATAGGAAACTAGACGTGCTAAAAAATCTATTAACAAATTCAGCCAAAAGAAATTGATTTAAAATATTTTCAAGTTTGTAATGTCACCGCTAGGGGGCGTAACTGCTATAGTGTTGCCATGAAAAAAAGTTACATATTATACATAGATATATCGTTGCATTTAATTTTTTTAGTAAACTGAGACAATTGCAAAACTTTTCTAATTAGCGTCATCTACTGTTGCGCAGGAAAATATTTTTATTCCCATATAAATATAAATTTTATTAATAATTCTTTAAAACGAGCAGTCGTTTGTTGAAATTGATTAAGGCATTTGAAAATTTTGACAATTTAAAAATTTAAAGATGGTGTCCTTCATACTGTCGTTGCTATGGTAATAACAAATTATATAACAATTATATATATGCGAAATTTCGAAAAAACAACAATTTTCTGTAACACTATAGCAGTTATGTCCTCTAGCGGTGAGGTTACAAAGTTGAAAATATTTTAAATCAATTTCTTTTGACCGTATTTGTTGATAGATCTTTTATACTGTATATATTTCCACTGAAAACAATACGAGTGTTATTTCTTTTTTCAAAATTCAATTTTTTTCAGCAACAGTTAGCCCAGTCCATTGCTGATCAACAACAAAATAAAGTAGATTTATCCGAACAATTGCAATTTCCTGATCAAATAGATAATGTTGTAATTGAAGAAGACATTTCTGAATTTGTCACGTATGAGGATGATCAACTTGATGTAAATATATGTTTCAGTGTTGTAAATAAAATTTCTATATAAACTAATTTATAGGTTAAAGAAGGTATATATACTATAGAAACTGCAGAGCAAGAAAATGCTAGTAATGATTCAATAAAGTTAGAAAATATTCACGAAGAGGAACAAAATAAATTAAAATACCCTTGCACAAAATGTGATATGTCATTTAGTTTGAAAGTTGACCTTAAGGTAATAAATTAGTTAACTATAAATTTTTTTCGTAACTTAAAAGTCCACCTAAAAATTTTCGAGAATTAAACAACGCGAATAAGGTTTAATAAAAGTTATTTTACTCAAAGGTTATTCAACTCTATGAGTATTTTTAGATGGACTTTTAGATCATAAAAAATAATACAGCAAAAATCAATTTTGTATGCAAGTCAGAAAAGCCTTTATACAGTAGAGAAACAATATCTTTTACACAATTCATTTAGTGTTATTTTTTAAGCAAATATGAAAAATAGTCAATTTTTTTTAAGAATTGGTTAATGTAACACTGTAGTTAGAAATTGTGAGATAATATTAAATGCAAAACGTTCTTATGATTGACTGTATTTTCCTGTAGGTCCATATGATGACTCATCCAAAAGATTTGGATTATATTTGCAATGTGTGCAATAAGGGCTTTGCCGAAGCTCGAATTTTAAAGCGTCATCTAAAGATTCATTTGGAACAAAAACCTCATCAGTGTGATCAGTGTGATATGTCTTTTGCTGAGAGTTCAAATTTAAGTAAGCACAAAAAGAAGCATACGGGTGAACTAAGGAATATAAAGGGCAAGCCTCATCTATGTTCTGTATGTGGACGAGCTTTTAAATGGGCATCCAGTTTATCAAAGCACATGAAGTATCACACAGGACACAAGTTATTGTCATGTGATTATTGTGGGAAACAGTATGTTGAGGTACATATTTTTTTTTTAGTGGCTTAAAAGATTTATTATGGAAAATTAGTATATATTCTTTTATTGAATTTTTAAGGCACGAAGTCTGAAAATCCATATTAGATCTCATACAGGAGAGCGGCCATATGTTTGTGAAGTATGTCAAAAAAGTTTTACTCAAGTTTGTAACTTAGAGAAACACTTACGTGTTCACACTGGTGAAAAACCCTTTCTTTGCCCGATTTGTGGAAAAGGGTAAGCACAATAATTCTTTTTAGCATTCCGTGGATTAAAAGTACTGTTCTAGCACAGAATATATAGCTACGCTACAGAAGGTTCTTGGGAATGTATTTAGCGAATAGGTCCTAATGTGGCTGATAGATGGCGCGACGATGCATACTTGTTAAAATTTCAAAACTTAGGAATATAGCGGTATTCCAAAGAAGCAGACTAGCGCGTCAGTTTCCATGACAACCATTTATTGGTACTGCCGCTGTTGTCACATGTTTCTATCTTAATAAAGCGCGTTGCGTTTATGAATTTTAAGGTGGCCGGCGGCCGTATTCCCGGCCGTGAAATAGTGAAATTTCTGGCGTTTTTAGGTACTGAAACCTTGAAATATAAAACGTGTAGAACAAAAGTAAACACAAAAATAAAATCCTTGAAGTACTCTTTACTCATTGTTACTGTTTAAATTTACCCAAATAAAATAATAACTTTTAAAAATGCGTTTACTGATATCCTGACCCCACATTTTAAGAATTGTTTCACATACTTGTAATAAATAAACGTAAACAAACAAAATTTATTTAATATTTTCTACCATAATGTCTGTTATATGTAAATTTTAAATTTTCGTTAATACGAAGTCGAGTACACGGTGTACCAAAATTCAATTTCTAGAAAACAGCATTTAGAAGATATTAAATTCAACATTCTGAATCTCAGAAACGAAGCGTTTTCTTAAAATATCCAAAGGAAATTGCGCTACGAAGCTACGGACTATAGTTACGAAACCTACATTATAAATTTCGACTTAAAATTATAACATGTCTTTACTAACTTTTTGTGTAAACAAAAAAATATATAAAATACAAGAAAGTAGGAGTTTTGAAAATAATGAAAACACAAATCTGAAAATAAATAAAAATATATATATTATAAATAAATATATGAAATAAACAAATAAAACAAAAATAAACATTATAATAAATAAATAAATGGTAACAGGGTGCATTATAAGAATAATGCATAAATAAAATAAAAAGTGGCAAGTGTTAAATTAGTTGTACACATAACACATAACACATAACCACATCATTACGAAAAATAAATAAAATATTTATCAAAATGCAATAATAAACATACATTGTGTCGCCGGAGAGGTGAAACGACTCTTGTAAATGACAAAAAATTTTAGAGTTACAATATGGTCTTCTGGGATTCATGCCACGATTTCAAGTTCGTAAAATTCAGTATGCCTTGGAAATTTTGAAAAGTTTGATTTCAGTCACTAGTAAAGTGGCATTTCTGTATAAGATATGACAAAATGTTATTAAGAGAAGTTTCTCCGAATAAAAAATTAGGTGGGTGTACACAATTTCAGTGTCACAGCCGTACTTTCAATTTCTGCCTGAATATTTTCGATAACAAAATGCCGTTCTGTGTAAGATACGTCAAAATTTTATTAAGAAAACTTTTTCATAACGGAGAACTTTTCTGAAAAACTAGAATCGACCGAAAATAGGGTAGAATATTTTTATTAAGACTTGAAAATTTTATGATATAGTAAATTATTATCGTAATTTATGTTGTATGTACACTCGCGACATAAAGGTTTCTACTGAGAACGAGAACGATATTTTGTTTAAATTATGAGAGCTTAACCGCTTGCCTATATGCAGTCTGCAATTTTTTTATTATATGTTCCTAAGTAAAAGCAATTACTGACAGCCGTAAATCTTCAAAATTCTTATTAATAACTCAGAGCATCGGTCATTTAAAGTTAGTAAACCTCTTACGTTGGAAACCTTTATGTTGCGGCGACTGTACATGTATTAAAAAAGCAAAATTAATATCTGAAAAATTATTATTAATGACAGTGGGATTATACAATCTTATATTTTTAAATTATTATTTGCAAAAATAAAATTATGGATTCAAAAAATGTAGTCAGTAGTATTATTCACTTATGTAAGAATTTTACACTTACCACAATGTATAAGCCATTTATTATATTTCACCACAATTAAAATATTGGCACTTGTTTCCAGCCATTATTGTTATTATATTCTAGTCTGTGCACTTTAACACTAGTGAAACAAACTGAAATGAAATGATCTGCCGCTATGTGAAAAAAATTTGTATAAAAACATTTGAATGCAGGCCCTAGACCTACGCCCTAGCTTATCCAGCGCGCCGAGTGCAGGTGCAACGATTTACAATTTTAACCCAGAATCATGTTTAATACTGTACTGTATACTACTCGCGCTTTAGCAAATTAATAGAACTTCTCAAAACATACGTCATAGATAGCTAACATAATATAAGACAAAAAATATTATTATTCATTACCTATTTAAATATTTTTAGAATTTCTAAAAAACTATCGGTTAAATGTTTTTTTTCAGTTTGTTGCAGAGTGGCGCACCAAAAACGAAACAGGCGATTTTGAGCACTTAATCAATTTTTAAAAAGAACTTTCGAACGAGTAAATTATGCTTTGAAGGAGGAAACTTTCTGAGCATATACTATCAGAAAAATACTTACTCTGTATATTGTCGGGGATTGTTTCAGGATTCGTTACTAACTCTCATCCTTGCTTCTTACATTAATCATTATAAGTATTTACCAATTATGAATTATTCAGGTATCTGCAATAATCCGCAATAGGAGTAGCTCTGCAGTAATGACAAACATTTTGACTCTTTTTTGTGATGTTATCTTTTACAAAAGTCCATGTTTTATACATCATCGTATACAGAAAAAAAATCTGCACAATAATAAATGCAAGAAAACTAGCCATTTTAAAAAAAAAGTTGATTATTGCTTTTCAAAAAAAAAGTTTAAAAATATTGCGGTCGGCTTCCTCTGTACTGTATTTAGAACCACTTTATTTGACTTTTTATTTTTTGAAATCGGACTATAAATAACGAAGTTATGGGTTGGGTGTTTAGGAGACACCCTGTATGTATTTTATTTGTACATATGTATATTCTTAATTACAATTTAATTGTAAATTAAAAAATGTCAGTTGTCACTGGTATATAGAAATGCATATTATACATATATATTATTTAATACTTTTCATCGTTTAGGTATAATATCACGGCAAATAGAACTTTATTTGCCTTGATAATATCCTAATAATTTACATCCAGCAACGCTGTCTAAACTGGGCATTAAATCCGACTCGCCTCTGGCGGCACCTACGAGCTAGGAGCTAAACTTGCACTCTCTACTGTACATGCGCAGTTTGAAAGAAGCTGGATTTTAGAGCCGGCTTCTTTTCGGGGACTACATTTTAATACATTGCACGAGCCTTCTGTAGCGTAGCTATATATTCTGTGGTTCTAGTCACTAATTTCAGGGAGCAAATTATCACTTCAGTACATAAATGATTACCAGCCATGTGACTAGTAATTTTGTATGGAATTATAATTTGATTTCCTTCATGGTGACAATTAAATTTTTGTAAAATTAAACATTAAAACAAGATTAAGGTTAGGTTAAAATACAACATTCTGTTTCACCATGTGGTAACTGGTGTTATTAACACACAAAATGACAGGCGTAGAATACAGCATTAAAACTTTTTGATGCCTTTTATTTGTTTGATTCCTGTAATCAAGTCAGGTGATATTATTCATCCTGTTTAGTTTATTCAAATAACAAATATAAATTTTTTTTATGGATTATGACTTGCCCATTAGCTGACTGATTTTTTGTGTTTAAGTGCCAGATGTTTGTGATATAATATTGAAATATTAAGTGTAACTTTATTAATTTTTCAGATTTACTCAATCAGGTTATGTAGGAATTCACATGAGAACACACACAGGAGCACGTCCATACGTATGTCAGACATGTGGGAAAGCATTTGCTGGGTCAAACACTCTTACTATTCATCAACGTATTCATACTGGTGAAAAACCATATACTTGTAATATATGTGGCAAATCATTTAGTCGCCATGAAACTGTTATTATACACACTAGATCTCACACAGGTGATAAACCTCACGTCTGCAGTGTATGCAATAAGGGATTTACCTCTTCAGGTCATTTATCTGGACATATGAGAACACATACAGGGGAAAAACCACATTCTTGCGAAGTATGTGGAAAAAAGTAAGTTTTACAGCTACGTTTAACTTATGAATCAATCAATAATATTTTTATTAAAATAATAAAAATGCCTTTATTTATACGCGGTGTCCCATTTTAAATTGCATTGCAATATCTTCTTAGTGAAGCACTTTCAAGAAAAATTTTTTTTGACGAAAGTTGTAGGGTACTGAGGGGGACATTCGATGGTGACGTTGACCTTGACAGAAAAGTCAACCCTAGAGGTCATTTGAAGGTCAACTTGGATTTTTAGTTATGATAGATATATTTTTGACACCGGAAACGGATAGAGCAGAAAATTTTATGTTCAGATGTCTTTGTTATGGATCAAAGTAACCCTATAGGTTTATTTTAGGGTGAAATAGGGTTCTGAATAAGATTTTGCAAAATTTTTCGGGATGGTACGATGAAGGATTCTGGTTAAAAGTTTTGGTTTGATGACCTAGAGGCCAAGCTTGAAGGTTCCCTGTTTGCACCCCATTAAGTTAAGGCAAAATCACTATACAAACTTGGCCTCTAGGTCATGGTCAAGGTCATCATTGTAAGATCTCATCAAACTATAACTTTCAATTAGATTCCTTCATCGTAAGTGCTTTCCCGAAAAATATAGCAAAATCTTATTCAGAACCTTATTTCACCCTAAAATAACCCTTTAGGGTCACATTGACCCATAACGTAAAGACACATCTGAATGTAAAAATGCCGCTCTATCCATTTCCGGTATCAGAAATATATCTATCATATTTAAAAATCCAAGTTAACCTTCAAATGGCCTCTACGGTTGATCTTTGTCAGGATCAAGGTCACCATCGAATGTCCCCCCAGAAACTTTTGTCTAAATAGTTTTACTTGAAAGTGCTACCCTAAGAAAATATTGCAATCCGTTATTTAAAATAGGACTAACATTCTGTGTACATTGAAGATCACGGATTGTTGGGGTCACAAAAAGACGATTTAAATAAACTTCCCACTAATACTAGCCAAACTAGCTTTGTAGAATCAGCATTAGTGTTAGCATATATATTTAGTTTTAAAATTACTCAATTGTAGAATTTTATTAAAATTTGATGGGATTGTAACTGCGTTTTTAACTTTCATAATTTTTTTTTGTTTTGCTAATGGTTTTTCCATAATTAATAATTTTATCAGTCATCAGTCTTCATTCAGCCGTTTTTTTACAAATCTGATATACTTATTTCATATCAGTTAGATGGTTTAAGCACATTTATAATTTCCGTAAATAAGCCAGAAACTGATTAAAAAATGATAATTAATAAAAAATTCATTAAATTCAGTTCGGGACTCCTAGGAGTTCATTAAATGTAAATGAATTTTTCCATTATTGGATTATGAATGTATTTAGAGTTAAAGTATGAAATAGTTAACGTTTATTGATTTTAATCTGAAATCTAATCATTTGTAGGTTCGCAGGATCGAGTAGTTTAAAAGTACATATGAGAGCTCATTCTGGGGAGAAGCCATTTTCTTGCAAGCTATGTAACAAGAGTTTCACGCAATCAAGTACACTACATCAGCATTTAGCAACACACACTATCGATGTGAAAACAACAGATCTGGGTAAAGTCGAAACAGTACAAGTTGCAGAATTAATGTAAGCAAGTATATTTTATTAAATCAATTGTATAAAGGGGTGTCAGGACTATGAGTGTCAGTATTTTAAAATGCAGTAGCTTACTTAATTATGAAATTAAAATGGGTCATAAAACCAATTTAGAGGTTCAGTAGTCATAGTATATAAACATATGACCTTTTAAATAAATAAAATGTTTTTTTATGAATTGTTTCGCAAAGAGGTCCGTCTTATCCTTCGAAAAATATGATACATTATGTCTACAGTATGTCCGCGGATTGAGTTTACAAGAGGACAAATGAACCAAAAAGTGAAAGACACGAAAAAAAGTATTCTTGATAAAAGTTTTTGCTTGGATAGAAATTACGAATCACCATGACGAACTTCAATTTTGTTGTACAGGGTGGGTCAAAAACAAAAACAAAACAATGTTATAAAAGTTTTAGCATGAGAAATGAATAAGAGTAACATTATCAAAAATTTAAATTTTTATACAGGGAATAAAGTACAAAACTAAAATACGTCTTATTAAAATGTAATTTTTAAATAATATGAACATAATTACAATTACAATTAAGCTAAAAAAAGTAAACAAAGCAATATCGAGGGTTTCCTGCCAAAAGGACGTATCCATAAAAGTACCATTTTGGGTTTATGAGCTAACTTTGATACCCAATACCATAAGTTTGTTGCGACAAAAGGTCGTATCTACCTACCACACCATAATAACAGCACCACGCAATCCCTTTTTTGGTTGTATGAACAATTATTACCTCGATTAACCTGGCAGAAGGTTGTATGTATATGTCCCTTTGTAATGAAACTGTACATATACAGGGTGTTCCTAAATAAGTGTCGCAACGGAAAACTGTAAATTCCTCTTGAAAAAAGAAACATGATTTTCCTCTTCCATTTTTCTCTCCGGGCTTTCGTTTTCGAGATACACGGTGTCAAAACTTTAATTTTTTTTTAGTTTTTTGCCAATATCTTAGGAATCGTTTGAACTACAGGACTGAGCTTTTGTACACACATTACCACTATTAATAGCTACTTTTTCGCACCCTTCTCGAATTCATTGGACGTGCCAGTGGTGGAGATTTTAAGGTANCAGCATTTAGCAACACACACTATCGATGTGAAAACAACAGATCTGGGTAAAGTCGAAACAGTACAAGTTGCAGAATTAATGTAAGCAAGTATATTTTATTAAATCAATTGTATAAAGGGGTGTCAGGACTATGAGTGTCAGTATTTTAAAATGCAGTAGCTTACTTAATTATGAAATTAAAATGGGTCATAAAACCAATTTAGAGGTTCAGTAGTCATAGTATATAAACATATGACCTTTTAAATAAATAAAATGTTTTTTTATGAATTGTTTCGCAAAGAGGTCCGTCTTATCCTTCGAAAAATATGATACATTATGTCTACAGTATGTCCGCGGATTGAGTTTACAAGAGGACAAATGAACCAAAAAGTGAAAGACACGAAAAAAAGTATTCTTGATAAAAGTTTTTGCTTGGATAGAAATTACGAATCACCATGACGAACTTCAATTTTGTTGTACAGGGTGGGTCAAAAACAAAAACAAAACAATGTTATAAAAGTTTTAGCATGAGAAATGAATAAGAGTAACATTATCAAAAATTTAAATTTTTATACAGGGAATAAAGTACAAAACTAAAATACGTCTTATTAAAATGTAATTTTTAAATAATATGAACATAATTACAATTACAATTAAGCTAAAAAAAGTAAACAAAGCAATATCGAGGGTTTCCTGCCAAAAGGACGTATCCATAAAAGTACCATTTTGGGTTTATGAGCTAACTTTGATACCCAATACCATAAGTTTGTTGCGACAAAAGGTCGTATCTACCTACCACACCATAATAACAGCACCACGCAATCCCTTTTTTGGTTGTATGAACAATTATTACCTCGATTAACCTGGCAGAAGGTTGTATGTATATGTCCCTTTGTAATGAAACTGTACATATACAGGGTATTTCGGTATGAACATATTAGTCCAAGAAAATTAGACGAAAATAGGGCCGAACCTCGGAATTGCATAAAGAAGGTTCGATTTTGATGGGACAAAGTGCGTTCTCTTCGTAATTGCATGTGCATCAAAGTCTACAACGTCTCATGCGGCGCTAATTTGTTTATTTATAAATAATCAATTATTATTAACAAATAATCGTATTTCGTATATTACGTGTGGTGGAAACGGCCAATCTTGATGCGGTAAAGCTCATTCTTCTTCTTATTAACTGTAAAGGACCCCCACCGATCTTCATTTGTTTATCGGTTCTTATTTGATTGTTATAAACAAATTAGACGTGATATCTGTGGTCGGGAGTAGGACTAGCCGATTTGGACAGGATGAACGTGGTTTTATATAGAAAGTTCAAGGCCCTAATGCAGGAAGTGAATTCTCAAAAAGCTGAAGACCATATACAGGGTGGTCCCGAGGTAATGGGCCAAAATTCAGGGGTAGATTCCCCAAGCAAAAATATTGCGATTTAGCGAAACTTACCTTAGTCCAAAAGTTGATAGTTAAAGAGATACAGGGCGTTAAATGTAAAATATTATATCAGTTTTTTTTTTTCATTTATTCCTTAAAAAATGCAAATATCCTCACAAAATTTTGGGGTTTGGAGTTCTTTGGATAGGGGAATTGAAATATATTCACATTTTGGTTAAAGTTCATAGAGGGCGCTAGCTGCAGTAGATTGAATGTGTTAAAAACTACATAACTTTTTTGTACTTTAAGATATCTCATGTTTGGTATCAAATTCTTATTTTCCAACTTTTTTTACACAAAAAAGGTATACTTTATGAAAGTAGCTATCTCGCACTGTTTTCGAGATATTTGGCTTTGAAACTTCCAATGCCGTTGCATAAAATTACAATTAAGTACCTACAGGTATTATTAATTTAGCGGTAAAGTTTCTTAAGTAGGATTTGGACAAAAATAAATAATTGAATTGAAATTATTGCTGTCATTTGTATGCTAATTTCTATTAAGTATTATTTGTACCTAATTAAAATTACATATTAGCTGTCAATTTAANTTTTTTTTTTCATTTATTCCTTAAAAAATGCAAATATCCTCACAAAATTTTGGGGTTTGGAGTTCTTTGGATAGGGGAATTGAAATATATTCACATTTTGGTTAAAGTTCATAGAGGGCGCTAGCTGCAGTAGATTGAATGTGTTAAAAACTACATAACTTTTTTGTACTTTAAGATATCTCATGTTTGGTATCAAATTCTTATTTTCCAACTTTTTTTACACAAAAAAGGTATACTTTATGAAAGTAGCTATCTCGCACTGTTTTCGAGATATTTGGCTTTGAAACTTCCAATGCCGTTGCATAAAATTACAATTAAGTACCTACAGGTATTATTAATTTAGCGGTAAAGTTTCTTAAGTAGGATTTGGACAAAAATAAATAATTGAATTGAAATTATTGCTGTCATTTTTATGCTAATTTCTATTAAGTATTATTTGTACCTAATTAAAATTACATATTAGCTTACAATTTAAATTGTATACTCGTATACATAAATGCGAGATAGAATGCCGAGATTTTCATTTTTGGAATTACCCACATGAAATCAGTTGTTTATGGAGAAACTATAAATACCTGAAAAGGATTTAGACTTTAAAATGAAACATCTTTTAATAACCGCGTTGATAAATGTATTGAAGTTAGAGGTGGACATTTTGAACAATTATTGTCAAAAAGGCATATTTTCTACTAATGTTTACTATTTTACTGTTCATTGCAATTTTTAATTCTAAATAAATCCTTGTTTTTGACATTTCTAAATTATTTTAAATACTTCAACTATTAGCATTGGAAGTTTCAGAGCCAAATATCTCGGAAACAGTGCAAGACAGCTACTTTCATAAAATATACCTTTTCTGTGTAAAAAAAGTTGGAAAATAAGAATTTGATACCAAATATGAGATACCTTAAAGCACAAAAAAGTTATGTCGTTTTCAACACATTCAATCTACGGCAGCTGGCGCCCTCCATGAACTATAACCAAAATGTGAACAAATTTCAATTCCTCTACCCAAAGAACCCCAAACCCCAAAATTTTGTGTAGATATTTGCATTTATTAAGAAATAAACGGAAATAAACTAAAATAATATTTTACATTTAACACCCTGTATCTCTTTAACTATCAACTTTTGGACTAAGGTAAGTTCGGCTAAATCGCAATATTTTTGCTTTGGGAATCTACCCATGAACTTTGGCCCATTACCTCGGGACCACCCTGTATAACATGAATCATTATCCACTGGACTAACCCTGGGATCAGTGATTTCCAGGCCAGCTGCAGTTTCTTCAGAGTCAGAAGGCATTTTATGGTAAAACTTGCTGAACAGATTTCGGGCTACACCTTCTTCCTGATTCTCACTTCAGATTGTGGGAATTTTTCGCTGAGCGTTTTTTTGATTCAATATCTCGGTGGGTAATTGTCGGATGCAGTCGGAAATAGTCGGAAACACTTTTTTGGGTCCATTATGTTGAAAACGACACCCCACTTGACTTCGAGTGTCTTTGTTAAGTTCGGCTTTTTCGAGAAAATGGCGGATCCACGGTACGAATGCTCACAGTAACCTTTCTTAAGGGTTAGAGCGGTAATATCTCGATCTCTTCTCTTTTATCTCTCCTCTCAGAGTTGTTGACACTATGGTATCTGTTTTGCTCTTGTCTTTATTCCGGTCCCTGCTCGGGCGCCAAAATTATGTGATGTACTTTTGGGGTTCGGTCGCAGACGCCGAACTAGTACAGTCACTTTACACAGTCTGGGTTCACTCGGTGGAGAAGTGTTTTCCAAGGTTCGGCAATATTACACGACTTGGTATAAATAAAACTTTTAGTTTCCAAAATAAATCCCAGTCTGTAAATATATGTAATATTAACAATAATGCCCTACCCATATAACTAACATAAACACCGGGATACCTATTGTCATGAAGACAATACGTATGTCCTGACGGTGACGACGCCGAGTGCCGCGGAAAGACCTGCTAAACACCCGGAGTCGGCCACAAGGTAGACGTCAGGTACCGCGGAAAGACCTGCTAAGTACCCGGAGTTCACGCGGCAAAAAGCCACTTAAAGTCATTACAGGCTGTGGAAAACATAGCCCTCCGCACGGCCACCGACGCGCCCTGGTACGTAAGAAACACTACACAGACAATAAGACAAAACGCGGAGAAACGGTTTGACGTAGCCGCTAGACATGACAATCCCCTCCTCAGGCAAGCCGTTGACTACGTACCCGACGTGACCGACAAACACAAAAGACCTAGACACNTGATATAGTAAATTATTATCGTAATTTATGTTGTATGTACACTCGCAACATAAAGGTTTCTACTGAGAAGGAGAACGATATTTTGTTTAAATAATGAGAGCTTAACCGCTTGCCTATATGCAGTCTGCAATTTTTTTATTATATGTTCCTAAGTAAAAGCAAATACTGACAGCCGTAAATCGTCAAAATTCTTATTAATAACTCAGAACATCGGCCATTTAAAGTTAGTAAACCTCTTACGTTGGAAACCTTTATGTTGCGGCGACTGTACATGTATTAAAAAAGCGAAATTAATATCTGAAAAATTATTATTAAGGACAGTGGGATTATACAATCTTATATTTTTAAATTATTATTTGCAAAAATAAAATTATGGATTCAAAAAATGCAGTCAGTAGTATTATTCACGTATGTAAGAATTTTACACTTGCCACAATCTATAAGCCAATTATTGCATAAATCTTCATTTTTATGTGGGAACCGAAACATTCGAACTCCCGATTTTCGAGTTTCACCACAATTAAAATATTGGCACTTGTTTCCAGCCATTATTGTTATTCTATTCTAGTCTGTGCACTTTAACATTAGCGAAACAAACTGAAATTAAATGATCTGCCGCTATGTGAAAAAAAATTGTATAAAAACATTTGAATGCAGGCCCTAGACCTATGCCCTAGCCTCGCCAGCGCGCGCGAGTGCAGGTGCAACGATTTACAATTTTAACCCAGAATCATGTTTAATACTGTACTGTATACTACTCGCGCTTTAGCAAATTCATAGAACTTCTCAAAACATACGTCACATATAGCTAACATAATATAAGACAAAAAATATTATTATTCATTATTACCTATTTAAATATTTTTAAAATTTCTAAAAAACTCGGTTAAATGTTTTTTTTCAGTTTGTTGCAGAATGGCGCACCAAAAACGAAACAGGCGATTTTGAGCACTTAATCAATTTTTAAAA